ATTTACGAAACTCTGAAAGTTTTCTCCTTCGGGGGAGCCTCAGTCTTCTCCCTTCCGCTGGCACATGCCAGCACTCACACCACACGTCATTTCTCATGCCAGTGCTTGCTTGCTTCAGTTCCCACTCAGTGCAAAGCTGGTCCCAATATTTTTCAGTCATCCTCCACTGCCACCTCTGCTGTTTCACCACTAGAAGTCCTTGTCCCTGGAAGTCCCTAGATTTTCCCTTAGTTTCACTGCTTGACAGTTCTCCCTGAAAAAATCTCAAATGAGGTAGAGGTTAAGGACTACTACTATTATTTTTCTTTATATAGTGGAACCTTGTGTCCTTACATATGTCTTCTCACATTTACTGAGTCCCCCAGGCTGAAAGTTCTTTGGAGAAGTAGCTGTGTCTTGCAAGGGTTTTTTTTGACATTGCAAGTGTTCTGCAGTGAAAATGGCGCAGACAAAAAATTACCATAATAAGAACCATCATTTTGTTGGGTTTTGTTGCTTTTCTTGTTGTTATCAAAGGAACATTTTACCATTTTAAACTATTTTCAAGTCAGGAAATTAGGATAATGGCATTAATAGAACTCCAATGGCAGTGTGGTTTGGGAATATGTTCATCTCTTTTGATCATCTCCTTGTTTCAATACATGCAAAACAAAGTTCCCCAACCTTGAGGAAAGCTAAATAGCTTAGACCAAAAATCTGAAGATAGGCAGATAAAACACAGAGGTTTTCAGTTACATGATTTACTTAAATGCCAGGTCTTTCCCTGTCTCAGAAAAAAAAAACCCCAAACAAACAAACAAAAAATCAATAAAAAAAGAAACTTTTTGCTAATAAGACAAAAGAGAAATTAATTTACATTAGGGATTTCTACTGTTGTTGCTACTGCTTGCTTACTTTTTTTAAGATAGTATTTCCAGATTTTTGTGGACTAACAAGCTACTGGACATACATTTCAACTAAAAATCTTGCCAATATGCAAAATATTAATTTGTCATTAGTATTTACTGTGGTATTATTTGGATATCACCTAAAAAATCTACAGCCCAAGTGTATAATGACAGAAGTGGCTGAAATTTTTGAATTTCCTCTAAATTCTGTAATAAATAGCTGTATTCTGAAATTTGTTATTTCCATGCCACTATCACATGAGTCATAAATGCTAAAGCTATGCTGCATTGTCTGCTAAGACTTACTGCACATTGGCACCAGGGGGAATTATTATAGATTAAGTTAAATTTGATCACAGAGTACCAGCTCAAAATAACAGGCATAAATCAGAGCTGCTCATTAGTAAAGCACACGTCTAACCTTATCTGAGAGAGATGCCCTAGAAAGGCAAAGTCACTGTTTGCTTCCTCTGAGTCAATAACTGTGCTCTTGGATTTTAGTGGATTTCTGATCAGACTGTCTCACTGCTTAGGTCTAACCTCGCTCCTGACCTGGCTCCACCAGATGGAGACGGTGTTTGTCACTGAGTTTCCCCAAATTGCATCTAGCACTTCTGCCTTGACACAGGCAAATCCCACTAACGGTTTAGGTGTCCCCGAACCCAGTTTCCCCTGTTCACATATGCCTAATCTTCCTCCACCTCTTTCTCTTCAAATAGACAGTGAAGGTATCATCACTTTGCATCCCTCCCTGTAAGTCCTGCACACCGCGTCTTGGGCAAGTTGCCAACTGTGCTTGCTTAGGTGCAAATATTCTCTTCCATTTGCAGCACAGGCAGCTACTTGGGATTCTGGTCAGAGGTTTCTTTTGATTTAGTTTCCTTCAATAGAGCTATTCTGTAAATTCTTTCAACTTTCATTGTCTTTACCCTAAGAAGCTTTTTAGCATGTTTCACAGAGGGATTCTGTAGATGAGTATCTAAACTACTGATTTTAAAATGGCATAAAAAGATGGATTGAGAGGAGCTGAGTAAAGTTAAGAGCCTGAAACATTTTTTTAACAAAAAAAAAACATTAATCAGTTTTATCAATGAGTAAAAAAAAATGGAAATTTTGAAAATGATTTTTTAAGGTGGATTTCATTTTCTTTAAAAGTCAGTCTCTTTTTCAAAGCAGTATTCAACAAATACTATTCCAGAATTCTATATGGATGAATTTTAAATAGACTGTTTAATTTGGCAAAGAATACATGGCTCTGAATCCAGGATGATTTATATTTTAATTTACTAAAATACAATATCTTAAAATCATGGTTTGTTTAGGTCAACACAAAGAATATTTTGGTTTTGTTTAAAACAGTTAGTCGGTGCTAAAAGAAATGGACCCCAAGATTCACCAGATGTATTTATTTGTTTTATTCTCCACTTCATGACTTCTTTGTTAATCACCTTGACTTCAGATAGTAGGGAACCCCTATTTGAAGCTTTAAATTATATAGTAAAAGAACAATATAAATGAACTCCATATAGTTTTTGGACTCTTTTCTATAATTTGTTCATATGAAAGGCTGTTACATTTTAGTATACTGATGCTGTGTGTATTGCATTCTCCTTATATAAGGGCATATTTCTACCACAGTCTCTGTCTTTAGTTTCTAAATATGAATGGCTAGGCAGATTTTCAGAACAATACTGATATGTGTTTTGGACACCTCTGAGTATACTAACAAATGTCTCAAACTTAACTCTCACTCGCATACTTCACATTGTCTGGAATATATTATCATCTATTAGTCCAATTTGCTACCTCTGTAGTAGGCTCCCCACCATGTCCCTAGTCCCACTCAATAGCCTGAATTACCCAGGAGGTAAAGAGGAGAAGGAATTGCACCATGGCTTGACTGATAAACTATTCCATGGCAGCTTTTAGCAGATAAGGCAGCTTGAACTTCAGCTGAATATAGGTCCTAACTTCCTCCTATCCTCCTTTCAGTTGAGGCAGTGATTAGAATGTAGGGCTTACCCCCTTCATCTCTATGGGAGCATTCTGAAGTTTTTTCAGGTCTAGCTTCTAGTTATTGCTTCGAAGACCCTGTTAAAACATAAATACCTCCATGTTTATCTTCTTTGATGCCCTCAGAGAGTAGGAGAATATACAGTTTCTGGATGGAATGGAATATTGCATAATATATTTTTTAATCGGAAAGACTCTGATTGGCTGGAGGAACAGGATACAAGTGAATGTGTTATTTTGCACGGTTTTTTACCTGTAGACACTCTAAAGAGGACTCAGAGTGCAATGATAAGATTTTTGATTCAAATCTATATTCGAATTCAAAACACAATTTTTTGACTTGCTAGACTGAGGTTTTTGTTTGCTTGGACTCTTTTTATTTGTCTAGTTTGTCAGCTCTTACAAAAAAAAAAAAGAAAAAGATTTCATTTTCTATTTGCCCATTGGACTCATCATTGCAAATTCTTGAGGGCAAATTTTGTCATAGAAGAATGATTACATGCTTTTCAGAACAATTTAATTTGATGTAACATTACAGTAACTGTTGCTAAATCTTCCAGGGAGATGCTGTAAAATAGCCAAATTAGATGCAATGTCCAATCAAAGTGTGTATTTGAATAGTAGCTAACTGTACCTTATTAAACATAATGCTTTTTTTTTATTATTATTTCCAGAACAGTAAAATTTATCCAGAAAAAAAGAAATAAATTTACCCTCCCAGGGTTAATATATTTTTATTGGTAATGAAATGCTGTGACATTCTATCTAAATGATGATCTGATTTCATAAAAACGTTGAGTCATGTTATCACAGGAAACAAGGGACTCTCTATCTCTGGAAGGTCTAGTCAAGAGAGCCCTTGCATTAAGTGGAGTTAATATACAATTTTGTGTAATTTGGAGTTTAACCATATTGTTATTGTAGGTAGACAAGAAAGAATTCTGTAATATGAAGCCAGAAATCATTTAATCAGGAATGTAAATCACTTATGTGGTTCAGTTACCAAATGCTGATAGAATTGGTTATGGTAGATTGTTGTTTTTTAATTACAACTGCTCTGCAGTGGTGTTGTGTTATCAGGTTCCAAGAGGAAAATAGTATAGTATCATAGTTTGCTATGCCAAATGACCACTGATACTGCCAAGTATAAATACCACCAAGAGTGGGTTCTTCTGTAAGAAGATAACCACATCCCTAAAATAATGAATGCCACACTTCCCTACATGTATTTATGTTCAGGTAATTTATTTAAGTAATGTTCCTCATACATGCTTTATAGCCTTTTGCCTTTTGCTGCACAAATTTCGGCTTATATTGCAGACTGTGCAAGTCATTTGGCAAATGTAATTTCCAACTCTGCATACTAATCGATTTCTTCACAAACACCTGCTATCAGTTATGATAATAAAAATGCCATTCTAAATTGAAAAGGGGCCAAATGGAGCTTCCTAAGGAAATGACTTAAGTGTCTTTCAATGTCTTTAATGTAGTAATGTTCTTGTAGTGCCAACACTTTTTTTGAGCATTTGCATTTTATATAATTTTACTCTATTACATATTTTTTCGGGCTAAATGGTTCCTCATAACCATTGCTATGAAGTAGCTCATGGGGAGACTGGAGAGGAATTTCTGTGCTTTTCCCTGGAAAGCTTTTTTTCCAGAAAACTTTACGTAGTAAAAATTCCTTAGTGCAGATCTGATCGGAACATCTGGCTGCTACAGCTTTATATATATTCAACAATTGTATCAGATCCTATAACATCACAGGGAAAAGTTCTAAGTTGATGGGTACTTTTCCTTGGACTGCATGCCAGTTTCTCCTTAAAATATAAGTCTAAATTTAGCAGCTGGATTACAAGTAGTGTTTGAATTATCCAGCTTTGCTTTATGGTTCCTTCCACCTCAGAAAATAACTTCCCAGTGACAGTCTTTGCCAGAACCTAATCATTTTCAGTTCTGCTAGATCTTCCCTCTGCTCTGAAATGTCTTGCTGGCTTTCAGCTCTTTTATTGTTTCCTCTGACAATGTCCTCTGCATTATTTGTAAGAAAACAATCCATTTTACTGTTTTCTTTGCATTTTCATTTTCTCTTAGCTCTAGCTGCCCAAGCTTATGCACTTAAGGAAGAGAATGATAGTCTTCGGTGGCAGCTGGATGCCTACAGGAATGAAGTGGAGCTTCTGAAACAAGAGAAGGGACAGCACTTTCGAACAGAAGAAAGCCTTACAAAGGACCAGCAGCTGCAGTTCCTACAGCAGACGATGCAAGGCATGCAGCAGGTATGCTATGCAAGAGTAGAAAGGGGTTATTTTTCTTAGGAGAGTGTTCCATGAATCAATGCTGTGCACAAGGTTGTTCATGACTCTTGAAGGGCCCAATCCCAATTTCTTTTCAGAGTCAAAGTCTTACTGATTTTACATGGGGAAATGGGGATGAGGAATTGAGTCATTTTAGTAATCCATAAACTATAAACCCATCATTCCTTCAAGGAAACTATTTATGCTTGTTCTGCTTGGGAATGAATGAACCATTTGCCCTATTTCACTCCTCACTTACTGAGCCCAGCTCACACTAAATCTGATCAAAAGTTCAAGAAAGTTTTTATAAGGTAGCATAGCATTAATCTGCATCTTTAGGTACATCCACTTCTCTGCATTGTCTTTTATTCTGCTGACTCTTGTTTGAGGACGATTTGGACATTTGCAGCTTGTCTAGTCTGTCTGCCTGCTTACTTGATAGAAGATAGCAACATCAGTGTTATCTTCCAAGCTTTTGTTATGGATTCCAACCCATGGATGTTGTGTTTACATTCAGGCAATGCTTTAAGTGATGCAGTGCAGAAACAACACTTTTTCTTTGACTCCAGTGAGCCAGAAGGTGCAATGTGTCCTTACAGTGGGTGCTCATACAAGTTCCCTTGTTTACTCGCATGCTCCTGACGTTGTGCAAGGCAAGTCTTGGCAAGCACATCTAGACTATTGCCCCTGCTTTGTCTGAGGTATCCGTTAACACGTATGCACGTTTCATTCCACATATGCTTGTATTAACTTCTGTCCTATGCCAGCACATACGTTCACCTACAACATAACAGATCACAAGAGCAGTGTTTCAGCACACTGCTTTCTTGCTGCCTTTTTTTTTCCTCTAGAACTGAGCTTCTCACTGCAAAGACTACCTTTGCCTCCTTCATGTGTGCCCTAAAGGCACTTGTGTCCTTCCTGGTTGGTTAGATTCCAGAAGGGGACAAGTTGTACCCCATGATACTAAATTACACTGAATTCTTTTAATGACTTAAAACTTCATAGCCAGGAAACAGTCATTTCTGTATAAAATGCCTGGCTGGATTAGTGATTGTATTCCCATCAGAGAACCAGTCAAATCCAACAAATCTGAAAATCCTGCTTAACACCTAATAACAGAGCTGAAGGCATACCTAGTCAGTTCCACACGTGTCTTTAGGAACATCCAAGCCCAACCTAAGCTCACAGACTTTTAACAAATTAGGGTGGTTTCTGGTATAGTGGAGTCATTCTCAACAAAATATTTGAAAGAGAAAATAAGCCATTGATCATTCGTGGGGTAAAATTATTTTTGAACTCAAGAATGAAGTCTTAATCAGAATTTCTAAAGGTTTCATTGTACTTTGAGAGACGTGCCTGAGTACTGTTGATAGTCTTGTCTTTATATAAATGAATACTTTTACAAATGAAATATCACCAGCTTCATTAAATCTGCTCACATATATAATAAATATTGGGCTAAATTTCAGTCTGATGCTAATTCTCCTTTAAAAACAGTAAAAACAGGGCAAAAACATACTAAATTAAAATACTAGAGCACTTATGCTCATTTTACACTATTAGATTTCTACTTAAAGTCTGGATGAAGGATAATCAAGTCTGTAGAATATAAATAGATTGCCATTATAGCTTCAAGCGATGTTAATATTGTAAGTAAATAACCAAGAATAAATTATTTACTTATCTTTCCTTTCAACTGAACCATCAACACTGCAGACCCTATTCTTCTGAGATTTTTTATGTGCATGGTGACTTTGCAGTGGTTCTGAATTTTTCTAGTTTCCATCTTAGGGTCAAGCCGATATCCCAAAGGGATATAATTAGAGATGGCCCAAGGAGCTGGAGAAGACGTTGTAGATAATCCAGGCTGACAATGTGCTGAGGAGGGCAGCAGCACAGAAGCACCGGAGGTGGAGTTCAGAATATTTGGTGGGACATTATCAGTGAATTAAGCAGCTTCATGATTACTGTCACGGCTTTGGATTTCAATTATTAGCCATATTTGTGACATCCCATGACCTTTTTGCTTTTCATGCAATTCATCCATGAATATTTAGAAATAAACCTTTGATTTAGGTGGACTATTTTATCACAGCTTGATTTTGTAAATGCTAAGAGCTGACAACCTCAGCTGAAATCCATCAGTAGAGCAGGTGCTCAGCATCTATGGAAATCAGTTTATGAAATATTAAACAAATATGCAGAACTTGAGTGGTAATAATTTAACAAGAAAATCTGTATTCCCTTTTATCCTTTTGTATATATTAAAATTAATTTCAGACAAGATAAACTGAATACCACTGAATTCTTGAAGCCTGAATGTACATCAACATTAAAAGCTGTATTCTCCTTTCTTCCTCTCTACTCTTCCCTGCTCTTTATAAACCTCCCCTTCTTCTAACTTTAAAAACTAGAGAATAATTGATTTGAGCTGCAGTCTGAAAAGCAGATTTATCTGAGAAAAATAGATCCATTTTTCCAATCAAAAGAACTTTTGTAAACATATTTGGTGCCAAACAGTAGCAAATAACACAACATCAATGTATTTTTAATGTACTCCCACCATCTGGCCATTTTTCAGGATTCTTTACCACATTTGGAGAACTGATGAAATGATTGTTTATTTTCTCTGCCATCACTCCTACTGCTCCAAAGTAGCATCAGTAAAATCACATAGATATTTACTTATGAAGGGTACCTTCCGGGCGGTAGTAGCAATATGCTATTTATTGTGTCTGAAAATGAAAATCCTTTGGACTAATGACATTGAACTTATGGGGTTTTGAGTCAACTTCCTCCATAAGACTGTGTCACAGTTTAATTTCATACCCACTGTGAGATCTCAAACAAATGGAAATAATGTCTTGTATCCATGGTAACAAATGAGATACACTTTACCTGAATTTGAGTTGGAAATTGAATTAACTTGTCACTGCTGCATAGGTGGTATTGCCTTCAATTTATTTCTGTATGAGAACACACATACCAAGCAGATCACTTTTTGAACGTCTCTGGTTTTTAGCAGTGTTTGGTATTCTGTAAAAAAGTCTTTGATCATAAGGAAGGATGTTTTAGGTGTAACTATTTTTATAATACCTCCCAACACAGCTGTATGAAATTTTTAAATCTAGTCTCCCTTTCTAGACTGTTTTACCAGATGAATGATTATAGGTAAAGCAGAAAATATCATCTAATAGTGTTGCTTAATGTTTGCAACATATTTTCAAGTGGATATATAACCTCTCCAAATTGTAACTATTTGCATTAACATAAATCGTGTGGAGTAAAATTCTCAACAAAACATTTCAGCTTGTTCAAGAAGAAAACAAGAGATCTACATTTTACATTTTTATTGTCCAGTAAATAAAATTCTTGAGGAAACACATTTGTCACATTTATGCTTTGAAACAAGGACTCAGAATTTGATATTCAGTCAGTATTGAGTCAATGATGAGGTTCCCACATCCTTTCAAAAATCTGCCTTAAATCAGCAAAGCTACAAGCCTTTGAAAAATCTCACCTACTTAGAAGATGGCACTGATTAGCACTAGTCTTTGCAACTTTTACCTTTTTACTCAGTGTACAGATTTATTCATAAACCATCTCCATAACACAGCCACCAGTGCAATATTGTAAGGCTCAAGTTGGTCCTAACCCCACGAGCATAGCTCAGGTCCTGCAAATATTCTAGTTCCTTTAACGTCAATCTCTGCTATAACTAATTAGCTCCACTTTTTCATCAGGCTTACTCAGCCAAGGTGTGATACCATGCTTGCACAGCTGTACTGCTTCCTGGCAAGCTTGTTTGCCAATAGTTTGGGAATTCTACACAATGCTTCGCTGCATGGTGTAAATATTCCATGAGCATGTTCTTTCCCCTCACAAGGCCCATATGGGCTGAAATGCGCCAGGGTGTATTTTGTTTAAGAGGCAACTCAGTGCCCAGTCCCCAAGAGCTCCTGATTCATTAGCTGGGCTCATGCACCAATAGCGCTCGCTCCCCTTCGTTGGTGGTGGCACATGAGGACCTAGTCATGGGGTCACTACACAAGGAGGGGACACGTGTGGGCACCTGGTATCAATCTCATGCACCAATAGCGCTCGCTCCCCTTTGTTGATGGTGGCACATGAGGGCCTAGTCATGGGATCACTACACAAGGAGGGGACACGTGTAGGCACCTGGCGTGAAATTAGTGCTTGGAGTGAAAAGCAAAAGCAGTAGGAAGGGTCCTGGGTGGAAGGCACAGAGCTGATATAAGTCACTGCTGCTAGTAACTGCACTAGCCCTGGATGTCTCAGCAGGAGGTTCACCAGATTCTGACCAATCTAATGACCCACATGGGTGTCACTTTGATGCAGTGTGACAAAAGCGCTCCTTTATCTTATCTTTTTTTTTTTTCCCCCCAAGTGGCATAAATTTCACTCAAACAAAGATTCAGACTGCAAACCTGAACACTCAGAAACCAGGAACTGCCAGAACTATTGCCTGTATGTTTTGCTTCATAGATCTCAGGAACTCTTCCTCACTCAGTGCTCCAGACAGAGTACAAAATAAATCATCAGCTATTCAATATTTTCCTATTTTCATTGCTCTGTGTGCAACACGGGGTCTTACTGCGAAGGCCACATTTCTCCTGACATTTCCTACCTGCTGAGTTTTAACTTTTACAGTTTACTTAGCATTTAGCAAGTGCAATAAGTAGCACATGCATCTGAGAATTATATGCCTCATTTGAAAGGTCTTTGGTAAATGCCAGGTGGCTCCAGCAATTGTTTCAGCCTTTCAAAATGCATGCTCATCCAGGGAGGGATGTCTTGTTCTGTGGCATGCTTTATGATCTGGAGAGTTATGGGCTGGAGGGTGAGCAAGCCTGCTAGAATACATTCCAGATCCCTCCTCATACTTGCTGCTCCCCCAGAGGGAAGATGGCCAGTGTACATATTTGGTGACCAAGAGTATGGTATGCACATTACCTCCT